TGTTTGTTAAAAGAAGGATTTATGTGTCAGACTGGTATAAAATATCAAGCTTGTTTGTAACAAGTCACAGTAAACTCAAAATCTAGTCCACTTTAAAATGAGCTAAAAGTTTCTGCTGGACACTTTCCCTGAATCTCTCTGCCAAACTATGGAGCATCCGAATTTTTAGGATCTTCCTGAGAGCTGTGCACAAGCAGGTGAGATACTTCCTGAATTTCTTTCACCAGGAATTCAGTGCGTATACAGTGCTAATATATGCTCTAAAGAAGCTTAGAACAGTTAAAAAGCAAACCAAGCTATCTTTGCTTCTCTTGGGTCAGATTTTCTTTTAAAGTTGGGATGGGGTCTGTTCCCATCAGCTAGTCTGATCTTCTGCTCAGAAGAGGCCAGAGAACCTTACTCATTATTTATCAAACCTATAACCACTCGAATTGCAGAATAGCTTTAGCTATCTGGGAAACTTTTAAATCTGCTAAGGCCTTGCTACACTGCTTTGTTTAGGAAGAAAAACTGAGTATTTCTTTAGTGGACACATGAGGAATGTACCCATTTTGTTGAACGCAGGAAAAACTATCATGAGGTTTTTTTCCTTTGTTTACTACATTTCAGATCTGTCTTTCCAGTGAATTCTGCATCATGTAGAACTTTTTCTCCCTACAGGCTGCTCTCCCTGTGACTCCATGACTTATCCCAATGGTTAATTAGTCACAGTGTTAAACAAAAATTTTATTGCAGTCTGAATTTGTTTAGCTTCAGTTATGTATGACTAGATTTTATTGTCTTCTCCTGTCTGATCAGTAGTCATTTGTGGCCTCAAATGCATGGAATACAGTGGAGCGTACTGATTAATTTTCTCTTGGGTGGACTGTAGGATACATTCAAATCTTGCTAAGAGGTACCTTTTCCAGTCCTTGGTCAATTTGTTCAGCTTTCTCCTGAATCCTCTTCAGCTCTGCAGAATCCTTTCTGTTGTGTGGACCTCAGACAGAATGGGAAGACAATTTTCACACTGATGGATTGCTTTCTTGCCTTATTTTCTATGTTCTCTTGCTTTAATATCAGGGCATTTCATTATTCTCAGAGTTGCATTATACTGTGAGTTTGTATTTGGCTGATTCAGTGGTAATTATCGCCGAGTGCTTAGAACATAACTATTTTAGTTTTTTAAAGTATAATATATTCAGGAACACAGAAGTTGCAATGACAACGAGAGTGTTAACTCTGTCTAGCCATATGTAGGCTTTACAACATAGTTTGTAATTCCAAAATTGCAACGTTATTTAAAATAATATGTCCATTCTGAAAGAACTGTCAATAGATGTAGTGTGCCTTTTTTACAGAAATGAAAATAAACTGCATAAAAATGAAGGCTTAATTGCATATATGAACATCTGTTAAATAACCTGTGAGTTATCTCTTCATTGTGGTTAGTTTGATATTCTGAAAATGGTTAGAAAAGACCAAATAAACACATCTATAATAGATTTGCCATTCATATTCCTACTGCAACACTTTAATTCCTGCTTATGATATGAAAACAAAACTAATTCTGATTTCAGCAGGAATTTGAGGTGGTATCAGTTAAAAATAAAACATTTTGCTTCATGTTGGACTATGTTGAATCTGGAAATGGACCTGTGAGGAGGAATGGATCTGTGAACCCCTTTATTGTCTTGCTGTCTTCTCCTACATTCAGAGATTCTGTTGTATCTTCACAATTGAGTGTTTTTGTTAAATAGTTACTCTCCCACTCTCATTTTATTCTGTATCCTGGATAATCATTAGTCTTCACTTCTACATTACATCATTTTTCCTTTCTCTGTGGCATGTGTCCACAACGCATCATGCAGCTTTAGTAGGAGAGCTAGTGGATTCTAGTAAATGTAGCGGAGGAGTTGGTGGGCAGGGTCTCGTGTAATCTGCTCTTCTGCAGCAGTTGGGAAGAAGAAGATTGTGACAGGCTACTTGAGTATTTTCAGTTCCTATTTATCGAAGGTAAATGGGTGACTGGTTTGGTGCTTAGGGTTTTTCTTTTTTTTTTTCCCTGTTTTGAACTGTGGTGGTGTAGCTATGGAAATGCTGCTTATTTTTCCTGTTCCTACTGGATATTTAATTCCTCTTATTGTAAACCCTTCAAGTAGAAGAGCATAGTGGTTTTGCGTGGGCATGTCCAAAGAGCACTTAGATGTACTGGTCTGCGTAGTCAGTCCATCTGAAGGAGGATTCATGTTTGAAGCCTGCAGCTGTATTAGCACACTACTTGCATTCCTTAGTGGTGAGCTGTGGGAGTGATTCTGGCACAGCCTTTTCCTGTACAGTCTGTGGTGGGTAGAGAAAAGTTTGAAGTGTGTGTATGTGTGGGAAGCTCTTTTCTGTCTGGTTATTATGTTACACTTTCATGATGACCAAGTGCTGGAAGTAAGGTTGCAGGAGGAGTAGATAAAAATAGTGTAACTTTTTTTTTTTTTGAAGCTACTATTTACAGTGCCATGGTGCTCTTGGCTTTAATTGTTTCTTTTTATTTTGCTCCTTGTATGAATCCTTGCATTTTACAAAGGGAAGGATTGATGGCTGCTTTCATTTTGTGGCCTGCTATGAGGTGATTTTGGTCTGTGTTTAACAGTCAATTGTAAAAGAGAACAAACACTCTTGTTATCTTTTGCTTTATCAAGCTCTGTGACCTGTTAGAATCTTTATGCGTTTCAGCTGTGTTTCAGTCTCAGTTAAGCAGTTGGAGGTGAGGCATCGTGTAGTCTGCGTTATAGTCCTGTTCCAACAGTCTTCAGACCTGTCTTTGATGTTATGTAACTTTGTTCCAGTGTGGGGTAGAAAATAATTTAAAAATACAAAGTAAATTTTCATTGAGAATTTCCACAAGGCACGTATGCGAATCCTACTATTTCAGCATTTTGCCATCTTCCAGGTAAAAAGAAAAACCTAGAAACATTTCCAAAAGTGGTAGTTTTTAAATTTCTTTTTATTTTCTGAAGAAGAGACTCAAATTGTTGGGGATGCATTTTCTATTAGGAAAAGCAACAAAACCACAGATAGTAGCTTGTGTCTCCACAGGACACCTTTGTAGTTCTTTTTAATTATATAAGAATGTGTCCATAAATCTAATATTGACCAGAGCTACATAGATTGCTTTATAACAAACTCTTGACTGCAGTTAACAAATGTCATCCATTTCTTACGTCAGTAGGCGTATGAAAAGAAACATTCTCCTCTCCCCACCTTTTTTGGGCGTCATGGATCTTTCAAGCATTTTTCAGACTTTGCCAAAGACAGCCTTTTCTATCACCTATGCTTTAAATAGAAAAACATGTCACATTTTAACTTTATGTTGAAGTTTCGTGTGGCAACTAATGTATATCTTGCTGCACTCAGTAGATATGTCTGTGTATGTTTCTTAAATTGTGGATGTTTTCAGGTGGAGATGAGTGTATTACTGTAACTGTTGCTGTGGGGAGATGCAATAGCTCTCCATCCCTCTTCAAGAAAAACATTAATTTTTCCAGACCTTCCATTCCCTTTTGAATCCAAGGTGCTACATATTATTGGTCCATGTGAGGAGTAATGTCAGTTTTTAGAAGCAAGGTGTTTTCAAGGTCCTAGACCTGTTAAGTGATGACACTTGAAATACATTAGAAAAAATATAGAAATAAGGAAAACTACAAAGTAAAAAACAATGGCAGTGGTAACTTGCTTTAAAATACCATTAGTTGGGCAGTAAATATCAATTTTGGAGTATATAAACTGTTACATATGATGTGCATTTACAAAACTTTTTTCTCCACGTTTCAGCCTTCTGGAACAGAGCCTGTGTTGGCTAGGGTAGTCTGTCTGTAACAACCTCTGATCTGTTGTCTGCTTGCCTGGAAGTTGAGTCAAATGTGGATTTACTAGGGGTTAAGGGGACTGTGAGCCCTTTCTCCTCTTGTTAGCTCTATGTGCTGTGATCCAATTTCCATGGTATGTGTTTTGTAGAAACCCCACCCCACCTCTCTCCCTGTCTCTCTTCATCTCTCCAGTTTTCCTTGTTAGGCTATCTTCAGCACTATCTGCCAGCTTGTGACTTCACATCATTGGACATTTCTGCATACCTAGACCAGACAGAGAATTTCCTGCTTAAATTGAAATTTTGGCTAGCCCTGCTTTTCTGTGTGCATCAATAAAATAGATAATGTTTGTCTGTTTCCCATATTAAGTATCATCTTCCCGATGCTTTCTCACTTCCAGAGAGGTCTTTGTCAAAGCTGTGTAGGAGGAAAGTACACAACTGTGGTAGGCAGAATGTGTGCTTACTTGTCAATTAACCTTTCCCCTTTGTAGGGTTAACTGCTCTAAATTGCACTTTATGTAATAATTCATTATTGTACAGAAGGAAATGGGAAGTCTATATGGAACACAGCTTAGAATGAAAAACTAGAGTTCTGGTGAAAGTTATCTATAACACACTTAAATAGTGAAATAGTTATTTTTTCATCTCTAGGAATTAATATCAGGTGTTGCAAATACAGATTCTCTGAGGTATTAACAGTAGTTCTGGGAAGTCTGGCAGGAGGAGAAAATGGTGTAGGTTTGATGCTAAGACAAAACCTGAAATCCTGAGTTAATTTGGAATTGGGTATTTTATGAAGGAGCGGGGACTTTACTGGTTTGAACTGTGTTAAGGCTTCAGAGGTAAATTGTCTCATAGCTCACCTCAATAGTGGTTCATAATCTGTCCATCAGTAATGAAGCCTTTTTTGCTTACAAAACGTTCTCAGAACAGTTTATTAAGGTGATTAAACTACAGTTTGGTCCTATTTATGACAGAATATGAAGTATGTTTTATTTTTTAATGCCTTGTAACTTGGTCTTCTTGTGGGGTAGAAGTTATGTCTTACAGTTGTTTTAAAGTCTTGACAGTGAAGTTGTAGTCTGTGAAAATCCTGTGCTCTTATAATGAAAACTATTTACTAGCAATAATTAATTTGTTTCTTTCCCTTTCCCAGCATCTTTGAGGATGAAAGCATGAAACTACGACAGCTGAAACTAGACAATCAGGTAAAATATAGTGCTGAAGCTGGTAAAAATAAGTACAGGAAAACAAATATTAGCCATCTAGAAACTTGAGGAATGGGGGTGAAGTGCTAAAAATGCTCGGTCTAAAGAATAGAAACAAGAACTCATTGCTAACATTTTTCTTTAAAGATTTTCATGGCTTTTGTCAGTTTAAGTCAACCTTGCTATGGCTTGTAGGCTTGATGTCTTTGGTACATTTATTTTTCATACATCCGCTCATTTCATTGGGATTGAGTCACCACAATGCAGGAATGAATCAAAAGAGAGGAAGCCTGCAGGGAATTATCCATTTTAAACATCAAAGGAAAAGTTTCCCTGAGCTATAGAAAGATCTCCATAACACTGCTGTTGAGAAAGTTTTCCAGCACCTTTTGACTTTTTTTGTTCCCTACAAAGAAAACATTTACAGCCAAGCATTTGTCAAATATTAGGTTACAGATCTCACTTTTTAAAGCACTGTTAGCTGGATGCTTACATCACCATATTCTTCAAAGCAATAAAGTGTCCATCCTTAATATTCTTCCTCTGTGAAATTTTAAATGCTTATAAATAGTATTAGAAGATGTGAGATTATTATCATTCTCTAGCTGGCCATTCACATGGACCACAAATCACTGTCTTGCAGTAAATTAATCTGTGTTCAAATTAAAGCATGTTTTTTAGAAAAGCTCGCTCTCTCAGCTGAGGATCTTTAAATACAGACATGACAGTCTTCAGGGAACTGTTGCAGTGGTTAATAACCCTCTTTACCAGAACTTGATCATTATTTCTAGTCTGAGTATGCTTAGCTTTGACTTCAGACAGTGGATTTATTACCAACTTTATCTGTGTGTATATAGGCACTTATCTAGAACACTTCAGAGTCAAGGAGTAAAGTTTATCTTTGGTCGTATTTGTGGAAGCTAGGACAATCCTTTTTACCTGTAGGCTATCCAGTAACACGTGTTGAAACAAAAAAACAAACAACAAAACAAACAAAAAAACCCAAAAGCATTAGTTCAAGTAATCAGTAAAAGAGCATTTAGTGCCAAATACCACTCAGTAAGAAGTTCCAAAACTAAGGATGGTCTGACTGCTTGGTGATGAGCCTCAGTGTCTGGTTTAGGACTGTTGTCTTGGGTCATAAGCTGGTAGTAATCACTGGCTCCTAGTGCTAGGCACTGTGGTCAATGTATGCCTAGTTTCAGACCTTGCCATGGGGATGCATTGCTGTTCCACCAAAACAAAGCTGCTGGGCTGCGTGGAATTCCCTCAGAGTAGCTGTCAGTTGAATCATGAAAAGGTGAGTTTAAAGAATTCATACCCTTTTGCAATTTTGTTTCAGGCTTTCTTGGATTTGGTTGAGATTGCAATCATCTGCACAATCAACAGCTAGAAAATTTTACTAAAATATATTTTGACACCATCCCCCCCTCCTTGCAAATGAGATTTATTGAGAAATGCTAACAGTCTCTAATTTAGTGTTGTATATTTAGGTTTGAATATTAACTTTTAAAGTCTACTTTTAACTTTTTCATGAATAGTACCATGCCTTCTGAAGAAATAGAGGTCAATAGGAGATCACTATCAGACAGGATGGACCCATTGCTGGTTGTAGCTGATGCCCTGTTTGATTAATTTGTCCTAAACATTTATAGGAATTGGGATAAAAAAATGCAAAATGCTTTAATCCAGCAGGGTCATGTTTAGAACATTTGGCCATACAGAGAATGTGGAATATAAGCATTTGCCACAGGAAAGACATATGCCTGTCATCCATCTTTGTAATGGGTTTGGAAACCCTGTAATTGCAGTAAAATATTGTCTATAATAATGCATGACATCAAGTTCCATCTGTGGGCCAGCTCTGCGTGCTAGGATGCTTTTATGTAGACTACTGCCTTTTCCTTGAGGAGAGAGTGTGTGGCTGCTGAGGCAGTGCTTACTTCCCCAGCAGAAGGTGTTTCCGTGTCTTTCGAGGCACCTGCAGCTCAAAGTGCAATGCTGCCATCTCCCTGTGGGTGGAGAACGTGAAGCTGAAGGCATATTTCTGAATGCACCTGGTATGGTACTTGCTCCTGACACGAAGTTTCATTAATGGCATCATTGCTAGCATTGTCACTGCTGCCTCAGCATGGACTAAGGAGGAGCTGGAGGAGTGGAGAGGACGTTTCAGAGCTAGGATCCATCCTGCATGGCCTACTAACCATGCCAAATAATAATTAGTATGGTATTGCATCTTCAAGGCTGGAGTGGTTGGAACCTTCCTGTATACAATCTTCCTGTTCATCACAGCTGTAGCAAGAATAGTACACTAGTTCTTTTATTAGTCTGCTATGATATATTCATCTGACACATCTGACTTCTTAGCTTGTTGGAAACTCATTAGAACCAGAGCTGGTGGTTTGTGATCCTTTAACCATCCTGTATTCTGATGTTATGCTTTTCTGTGGTGCAAAGAAAATGTTTCTGAAAGTATTTAATACATGGAGTTCACAAAATCCTGAACAAATTCATGGTCATCTGTATCTTTTATTTAATGGGTTATGTGTTCTGGTGTCCTGTTCATGAACTATCTATGTTTTTTTGTTGTAATATTATATGAATTTTTACGGTAACACAGAGCTGGAGGAAAAGACTAGTTACTAGACAAAATGAAACAAAATACACTTTCCGTTTTTTCTGCTTCATCTTAGTGGAGTAAGTCTGAGAAAATACATAGTACTGAAGGTAAGGCTGCTCTGCCACCTTATGTAGAGAAAATGAACTGCTACTATCTGTCCTGTCAGTGAGCTTGTAGATTTTTTCCATCTCACTAAGCAAAGTAGTAGAGAGAAGCCTTTTTAAAACAAATTAAATTACTATCAAGTATCAAGTTTTGTCACTTTGATTATCCTGAAGTTCTTGCAAGAAAAAGGTCAGTCACTTCTACCAGCCGTGAAGTATATGTTTCAATATAAACCAATATGATCCCGTTGGACTGGTGAGTCCTAGAAACTCTTTGATGAAACAGAATATACTATAATAAGAAAAAATAAATTTTTAGACTGGCAAGCAGTGAAATGTTTAAAAAGCTCATCTAATAGAATAATCAGTTAAGTAGCTCTGAAAGTTATTATATCCTATATTGATCCCAAATTCAATTTCTCATTCTAGCAGTAGCTGTGTACTTTCTTACTGCCTTTAGGACGTGTCTTTTATTTTTTTCTTGTCTGTCTGTTTGTCGGGTAGAGAAGCCTTGGCAACAATTTTTCTCAAATCCTTATTCTGAATATAATGTTTTGATCCTTGTTTTCCCTCTCTCCTTTTATTTAGACATTTATAAACTATCATGAATTTTTTACAAACTCCACAAACCAAAATAAATTCTTCTGGAGGGTCTGACTACCTTTCTAGAAAACAAATTCTATCTGTAATTAGCATTTTCTAAGAATTTGACTTCTACTGCTTATTTTTCTCTTCTTCTAGACCAATGTGATAATCTCTTTGGAATTCTATGTAATTTTTGCCTTGCAGGACAATCCTTGCAAATAATTCTGCAATAACAAGCAGTACCTGTGTTGCAGTCCAGTCTTCAAAGTGTAATTATGAGTTTAAATAAAAAAGGTCGTTTTGGTTTGGTTTTTTGTGTTGGGGTTGGTTTTGGGGTTTTGGTTTTAGGGTTTTGTTTTGGTTTTGTGTTTTTTTTTTTGTTGGTGGCTTTTTTTTGTTGTTGTTTTGGGGCTTTTTTTTTTTTTTTTTTTTTAGAGAAGTGCTTGAACAGCAGAAAGAATGAAGGACCAAGGGCTAAGTTATGTTGGAATTCCTCAGGGAGAGGTTGCCTGAGAAACTAACCTCACTTGAGATAAAAAGCCTAATAGGAGAGGAAAGAACCAACAAGAGAGAGAAAAAGCATAACAGGAGAGGAAAGAGTTCCAAAGATGTCTGTGTCTCAAGTGGATTGAATTGTTTGTACTGTTTATCTGATGGATCCTTGGAGACCAAAAAGAATGTGATGGAGAAAGGGGTTCTGTCATCAAGAACAACTTTCAGGGAGTGTTCAGGTACCTAAGAAGCAGGCATGGATAAACTGCATCTACAGCAAGGGGCTTGCACATTGTTTGCCTAGTGGTGCATTACAGAATATTAGAATACGATTTTTCCTCCTCCTTGCATCGCCTTAACTGTTAAGGATTTAAAATGGTGCAATGTCCCCATTTGCCTTGATTTAAGTCTGGAAGTTGTTTCTATTCTCATTTAATAGGAAATCATAAACATCAAATATATATGTATCTTGGAAAGTAATGTTTTCTTTTTAGCATTTGGATTTACCGTTCTTTCCTTTCAAGAATTACATGGAAAAAAATTTGCAAGGTAGATCAATTTTCCTTTTACTAGATCAGTCCTATTTTAATGACTGTAATCTGCACACACACACACACACCCACCCCCATCTTATCTCTCAACATTGGTTTCTGGGAACTATTTGTTTTGAGTTGTCCCTATAAGATGATAACTTTTGAGACAAAAACCTTTTCCTTTGCAAGTCCTGACTTGTTTTTGCTGCATCGTGACAGCATTTATAACTGCAGTGGCAGAGTGAGCCCTCATTAAGGGTTTTTAGAAATGTTATGCTAATACAGTAAGAGACTTAATTGCCATATAATGCATAGGGCAAGGGGTCTCATCTTTACTCTGGCATTTTCAGATAGTCTTGGAGATAGTTCTCTTAATACAAAGTTAGCTTAATTGTACAAAACAGGGAGGAAAAATTATACATTCCCTATATGCACAGAAAGTTGTCCTAAACGATGGAATGTTTAATTGAAAGAGTGGAGAGTCCTTGTGAACTGTCTAGTCTATCAGCTTAAGTAGGTAGGATGTAGGATGTATGGAGTAATAAAATTGCATGAACTTGCTGTATATGATAACATTTACTTTGTGAAATGTTTCATATTGGTTTATAAATGACTGCTGAATTTGTCTATTTATATTAAAGATTGCTGGAGTTTAGACTGGATGAAAGGAGTTAAAATTATCTGCTGATGGTCTCAGGATAGACCAGAAAATAAGCAGATGTCCACATCACCCATCAACCGCTGATGGAGAGTCAAAGGCATCGTCTCACTCCAAAGACACAGTGATATCTGTGTCTAGGATTTTTGTAAGAGATTACAAGAGTATTTCAGGCTTATCAGAGATTGTGATCAGTGACATGTCATTGCCAATGGCTGAGGCATAGTTTCTGTCTCTCTGGATGTGGTTACTCATCTTTATTTCATGCTTTTTCTTTATTTGGCAGAGAGCTCTTCTAGAGAAGAAGCAGAGGAAGAAACGTCTTGATCCCTTGATGGTGCAACCAAATCCTGAGGCAAAGCTGCGTAGGTCAAAGCCCAAAGGGTGTGAGGAGCAGACTCCTTTAGTAGAAACTCCTACCCCATTACACAGTGATGTTATGTTACATGGTAAGTAATCAACCTGATTGCAACAATGTTCCCCAAAATGCCAGTGGATGCCTTTTGTCACAGACGGGCACCTACATTGCTGTGACAGTGGTCAAGTGATAAGCAAGATTGATGACATACCTTTCTATTTACAAAAGCAGAATTGTAGTACAGTATGGTTGAGCAATACTGAACTGTAAAAACAAACAAAAACCTTACCTTGAATTTTGTGACAGCTGAGAATCTTCATGTGCCTTTGAGTAATCTCTCCCTTATGTTAGGCTAAGAACAACTATAGAAATGGGTTAGGAACTTCTATAAAGGTAGGGAGATGCAAATCCAAAGAAAGAGAGTCTTCTGAAGCTGTAAGATAAAGAAAAGGAAAGAATCCAGTAGTGACTGCCTGTAATTTTCTTCATGGTATCATGGTATACTCCATCTCAAGATTGCATATGACTGAATGATAAAGTAGACAAGAGAAACACAAAAGCCTTATGAATACTGAATTAGGTTCTTGCTGGTTTTTACCTCATCTATTGTTTTCTGTGGGCTTCAGGAAGACAACTGAAACATGACAAACAAGCTATAGTGGTCCAGAAAGTCACAAGCACAAAGTGATATCAGAGCCAAAGGCAATAACTCAGTGGTCTCAAAACATTACAGTAAAATAGTGACCATTCTGTTATAGGAGTGGAAAGGTATACAGTAGTGAGACTTCCATGTCACAGGGAGGAAAATAGAGCAGCAAGGAAACCCCTATGTTCCAGTGGAAGTGTCAGGGCGTACTTTGAGAGCTGGGATCCTATCGGCCTATCAAGAAAGTAACAGGAAACATCCTAAGGCTTTGAGATGCACGCTATTGCAGGATGTTGTAATACCACCATTATATTAACAGGGAATTAATGTGTAGAGTAGAATTTTAAAAACCCAAACAAACCAGTGTTACCTGGTTTGAAGATCACATTTGGAACTATGTTATCCCCTGTCTTTTCAATGTTTTTCTTGTTCTCCAGATGTCTTTCATCATGATGTTCCCCATCATAGGATGGGGAGAAGAGTGGTGGTGTGGATGGTAGCATTTAGGTGTTTAAAATCAGGTGGGAGAAAGCTTCTGTTAAAAGACACCTTTAAGTCAAAAAGAGAGTGAGATAAAAGATTTATATAACTTTTAAGTTAGGAAATTTCAGTAGTACTGAAACTACAAGAAAGAAAAATGAAAACTAACTGCTCCCTCACTAGCTTCCATAATTCTGAAGCTTCCTCAGTACAAACAAGTCCTATTACGAAGTGATAACAGCAGCAAACGTGTCAAAAATCTGATGACTAGATAAAGCAGTAAAGTTTTAAGAAGGAAAACAGTGTGAAAGCAAGAAATCCAAAGCTGGAGCTACATTTACGTATTGTGTGCTACACAAACATGTATTAAGTATTATGCCAGACCCTGACATCAAGACGTCTCCACCAATTACCCAGTGCAGTGCACAGCTGTGTTGCATGTTTAAACGTGGAAATTTCATTTCTACCAAAAAGACAGAGGGCATCCATTTATAGGTTTTTTTTCTGCCTGTGGCTGTAGATATTTTTTTCTTTTAAATTGATTTGTGATGTTCACTGTAGATCACTCACTTACTGGCACAGGAGCAAACTAGGAACCTGAAGGAAAAGAAAATAGAGTAGTTGCCCACAAAGAAATTGCAGAATATCTATACAACTTGTTTTAATTGCTTAAGCCCTTCTAAGAAAGTAGATACAATCACTATATTTATTAATGGAGAAACTGATGCCTGGTATGTATAAAGTGACCAGAGTCACGCCTGACTCCTCCCAAGTCTTTTGGCAAAAGTGGAGCAAGTATACGTCAGTATACTTTAAAGGGATGCTTGAGCAAGAGAAGATGAAAAGAACCACCATCCTGGGATGCATCTTTAGTAGTAAAAACTAGACTTCAGCATTCTGTTTTGTTTTGGCCTGCAGGCATTGATGGACCAGCTGCTTTCCTGAAATCAGAAGTGCAAGATTTGGGGACCAGGCTCCAAACTCTCTCTGCTGGGTCTTCCAAAGCAGAAGACAATGCAGATCAGGAAAATGATGGAGAGGCTCTAACAGACACAGCAGGCAAGCCAGATTTGCAAGAAATCTTACAGAAACGAGGTAAGAGTTGATAATGGGCAAAGGTCTTTTTTGGGCTCTTCTACTTTTTATAATTTTTTTTCAGTAACATTAAAAAAACCCTAAAAAGTATGATGAATCATGAAACAAGTGTCTGTAGGACATTACTTCTAAATGCAGAGCTAGTAGATTCTACAGCATGTAGAAATGCAGAACTGCAGTTCCTTCTTCTGATATTAATTGGAACATATCAGTTATGTTTTAAAGGTTTATCAGCGTGCTGTATAATTTCTGGCCTTTCCAAGGAAGTTGGTGACAAAATGCTCTACTTCACATTTTGCTAAAGTTCAGGGTATTTTTATTCCAGATATATTATATCTGGATATGATGCTTGAATATTTTCACAACAGCAGAACCATCTATAGCCAGTAAATGCTGTAATTTAACTGTTTAGGAGACTACCAGGGAAGATGTTTTTCCCAAATCGGAGGTTGTCACAATCAACAGTTTGAGTTTTATATTCAATAGTTATATCCCATTGAGTAGTTTCCCAGTGGAGTGTCCATCTTTCTCTGCCAAGTATCTTGTGTTGCTGCCAGTACTACAGCAAACCTTTTTTGTCGCATGCAGCCTAAGCATTTTGCAGCAAAATAATAGCTGGTGTTTAATATGGTACACAGCTTGTTTTTATTTTGCAAAGCCTGTCTCCCAGAATGTTTCTAGTACACTTTTATGTCTTAAGATACTACCATATGTAGAAATACTTCCATTCAGTTGTCAGATGCAACAGCTGCTTACCTATGGATAGCAACATTACACAAGAGTTAGGAAAGGAAGCAGGAAAGAATATCCAGAAACTTCAGGGGAAATTAGTGGAGGTAGAATATAAACAGTGAATTTTGAAATTGGCTGGAGTACCAGCGTTAACGCCTTTCCTCTTTCCAAATGTGCTTTGGGAAGTTTACTGACAGGTTGTTAAGACTATGTTTTTCTGTTTCATCTGAGACAAAGAACTTCCAGCAGTGCCCCTTCTATGCAGTGCCATGTTGGAGCACTGTTATAGTATTGGCTTTCAGAAAACAGTTCAGCTTAGCAGGTTGAGTGTGTTCATTTTCTATAGTGCCTTATGTGTTTTCCATTCTGCAGCCAAATTAAAGGATGGAACCACAGAACAAAATGATGCAGTTCCAAGTGGAAGGAAACACCAAACAGTGATGTGTACAGAAGCTCTTTATAAATGTCTTTACCCAGAGTTATTTTAGTTATATACCCACAGTCATCTCTACATAACTGTGTTTAGGTTAAAATTAAATAAATAGGTCCTGGAACTACTCAGTCTGCACTTCCGTTTTTAAAAATCAAATCATTAGTAGTATTCATGAGACCTGAGTTACTGCTACTGATGTAAGAACAGGAGGGGCTCTTACTGAAAAATTACCATACTCCATTTCAGTGTGTATAAGATTAAGGGGAAATGGTAAAGGATGTAAACTGTACAGAGTCCAACCTACAGGATAGGTGTCAGCATATTGATCTGAATTTCCTTTTTTTGTTCCTAAGACATGGAGGGCTTTTCTGCGTGAAAATAGGCAAACTTAATTCAATGACAGCATATACTAAGCAATATGTTACATCATGTAATATCATGTAAAATATGTATTAATAAAAGCCTGACAGCTGCTTAATCATCTGCACAGTGACAGCTGCAAAATGTCACTAGGGGTTTGAATTACAAGGGTTGGGAAGCAATATAGCACATGAAGAAAATCAGCAGTTGAAACAACAGAAATTAATTACAAAAGCAAGAGCAGAATAGCTATGCAAGAGTCATGTATGAATTGGTGATGCCATGAACTCATGACACCTTCTTTCAAAGGCTACCTGCTTGATCCTCTGTTCTGACAGGTATTTCGGGCAGTTTGAATTTTGATGAGGAGGACACAGAAGAGGAAGAAGCTAGTAAGAGACCAGCATCTCATTCACCGTATCCTGAATCTGAGAGGCCTAGTTCTGCAACCAGCAAGAAATCTTTTACAGTAAGTGTCTTGAAATCCATTTCTGATAAGGGCTGGGCACATGCTTGATTTTAGTAATAACCCCTTGAGCACTGGGTTAAAATATAGTAGTTGCAACTTCAGGGATTAGTATGCTAGCTACTGTAGGCAGAGGAAGGTCATGATTGTCAGGTTATCTGACTGAAGGGCCATTGAGTTAAACACAAAGAGCTAATAATGATCAAAGGAACAATGGTGGGCAGAGGAAACCAAGTAGCCTAATCGGTGAAGATGGGAACACAATGAATCTGCTACTCCTATGATCCTCGAAGGAGACAAGTTAGGCCATTGTCTCTGGTGTAAAATCCACCAAGATGACTCAGAGAAACTCTGAAATAACATGCAAACTTAAGAGGCATCACTGCCTGAAGGTTTATAGCATTTATTATGGGATGCAAGGGGGAACAGAATTTTGGGATGTAACAGAGAATTCTGGGATTGGACAAAACTTTTTATGGGGTGTTTAGGGGAAGGGACTCAAGAGGGAAAAGAAGGATCAAGGTGGATCAGGGGGTAATAGGCATAGGAAAATAAGGACTAAAGGGGGTAAAAGATGCATATAAATAGCTGCAAGACAGTATGCTTGTCTGGCCAAGCTTTGTGCCTGATTACTGCAGCGTGTCCTACCATCTTCTAAAACTCTGCTTCTAACTATTTCCTGTGTGTATGTGTTTGTGTGTGAGAGAGATACATACATGCATATGCTGACAAACTATATGCTGGACTAGCCAGTGAGTTGGAGGAGACCAGCATCAGGAAGGCCCAGGGTCTGAGCTAGTGACCAGATAAAGGGCATAGAGTTTGGGCATGGATGCTGGACAGCCTTAAAAGTCCATGCTGCTATTCAGAAGACCCATGTGAGTATATTTGTGAAGTGCCTGTGTGTATGTTGTGCTACACTAGTGGGTGAGTAGTACAAGAGGTCTGGGTGTTAGCTACTTGGGAGACTGGGCTATGGGTGCCAACTGCTGGAGATACAGGGTGGGGGATGCTGGAGGTGGGGAGGGGTGAGAGCCACTAGTGAATTTCAACTCTGTATATGTGCGTGTCTGTGTGTATTCACTCAGACTTCCTACTGGCTGTACCTGGGAATGGGATAAACCAGCAACCTCATCTCCAAGGCCCAGTAAGGGAGGAATCTCCTGGGTTCTACAATTCACAGGATTCAGCTGCCTCTAAGGAAAAATTACTTTAATGACCTATACCAGATTTCCATTGGAATTCCAGTTCCTTTGGTGACCATAACTTGCATCCTGACTGTACACATTGTTCTAGGGTTCTTCCAGCATTTAAGTTGAGATGGTTCCACCATCAGCTTATTCCGTTTCTGCTACTGTTCTGAACCAACATAATCTCAGTGCTCATTTCAGTCACAAAAATCCCAGCCTGTCTTACTGCAGCATCCATCAGTCCAGCTTATCATGCTGCTTTATTTCCCACAGAGCGTTTGAAGTTCTAAAAGCAAAGAGGCTCTTTGCTCAGAATATTTACCGTGTCTCATCCTATTTTCCCCTTCCCAGCAATTCACTCATCTTTGGTTAATGGGTACTTTTTCTCTCCTCCCCTTGGAGGGCTAGTCTTTCCTCAGACTAAAAGTCTTCAGTCACTTTCTTCAGAGAAACAGAGGTGGTCTCTCATTTAACTTCCCTTTCCCAAATATCTTCTTGAGACATGACATCTTCTGTTTCAACAGACCTTTCTTTTCTTGGGGAATATCAGAGCCTCTGATCCGATATTAATTTGCTAATATGATGGTTCTTCCCACAGGAAACAGGTGCTTCCTGTAGTCCATCCCCTCAGGCAGATGCACAGCTGGGAGAAGTAGAGAACTTGGAGGATTTTGCATTACGCCCTGCACCCCGTGGTATTACAGTCAAGTGTCGAATCACTAGAGATAAGAAGGGGATGGACCGGGGCCTCTTTCCTACTTATTACATGCATCTGGAAAGGGATGACAACAGAAAGGTACTGGAAGCAGCACACAGCGTCTTGGCTATTGTACTCCTGCCACAGAATATTTTTGGTGTAAGGGAGAGCTTCTGGTAAGAAACCAGAAGCTGAGGAGAGCCAGCATGCAGATTAGGACAGCTTATATTTGGCCAAGGCACTAAGGAGCGAACCGGCAGGTTTAAAAGCCGTAATACAATGAAAGATGAAATTAAAAAAGTATAAAAATGTCAAGGATAAAGAAGAGCAGGGAGACTGAGCTGCTCCAGAAGAAAAGGAGGGAAGACTAGAAAGGACAGTTGCATGAAATTTAGACTGCAGAGTGAGCTGATTGGAGGAATAGGATTTAAGGGTGTGCACTGGTGGAAGAGATCAAAATTGTGCAGACAGTAACAAAACAAAAGACAGTAACAGCACAGAACTAAAAGGGGAATGGATGTGGGAATTGGAGAGAGAACAGTTTGGATAGCAATGCCTAGTAATGCCTCTGCATTCTCACAAAGCTCCAGTCCTGATCAACGTTTTGTATTTCCAGACATTCCTTCTGGCAGGGAGAAAACGAAAAAAGAGCAAAACATCCAATTACCTCATATCAGTTGACCCAACTGATTTATCCCGGGAAGGGGAAAGTTTCATTGGAAAACTCAGGTGAGAACCACAGATGAAAACTACAGGCAGGAGAGATTGGAATTTTCGTTTTAGTTGGGTTGGGGTTATGAATAGCAATGTGGTATCAGTTCAGAGAGAATGAACTCGCATCATCCTGCTTAATCTAATCTGTATTCACCTGGGTTGGCAACCTTTCTTCAGCGTTACCATTCACTGTGGCAATTCAGAGGAGTTCTGGCTTGATGCTTTTCCAGGATAGGTTACAGGCTCAGTTCACCATGGGCACTTCATGGAAGTTCCTTGCTGAGCTGGCAATAGGAAGATTCAGATGGCAAGAGATGTGTGTTTTCACTGTGCTGTACAAATACCTTCAGAAGATGACAAAACTTTCCACTGATGCCTCTCTTTCTCTGTCTTTCCATAACCTACATTAGGTCAAACCTCATGGGAACTAAATTTACAGTCTATGACAATGGAGTTAGCCCAGTCAAGGCACAAGGTGTAGTGGAAAAGGCTCATACAAGACAGGAGCTTGCAGCTATTTGTTATGTAAGTAGTGCCTCTCCCCTTTTGCCCCTTTCTTTTTTGTCGCCTGGTTGCCAAGGCAACAGGGCTTACAAAATCATGCTGCCTGGCAGCCTCCCCCACTTAACTTTGGAACCAACTGACCAATTTCAGCCAGATACAACAAAGGGCAGAGGCCTCAAAGATAAGTTCTTACAAGTTTAATGAAAAAAAAAATCAATGCCAGGGGAGGGAGAGAGACCCAAACTAACATCCTGATGACCTTCTTACCTGGCCTATCATTCGGCGTGTGGCCAGTCAGCATATCCTTTGCCAGCCACAGCATGAACTGCCCAGCTGGTATCTGGTGGACACTGAGAAGGAACTGGGAGTACCCTGTGAAGTAGAGTTATTTTTTGCAGAACCAAAGGCATTTTGGTGGATAGGAGGAGGTGGTATTATTTCAGTAGCAGCTTGTTGTTGGTAAGGATATGGTTCCAGGGGATATCATGATTCACTAGCTCTGTCCTAGAGATGTTTTCTTCTTTTGGTCTTGTGGATCGCCTCGGTCTAGGCTTCAGAGTGAGGAGGCACTTGTGGACAGTCTAGAATTATGTGAGGATTTTCATGTTGCATTGTTTCATATTCCAGTCCTAAAGTTTGTGTAAAATTTGAGGTTCTTTACAAAATGGTGGCCAGTCAAGTGGAAGGATTTTTACTTTTATCACAGGTACAGCAGCAGAAATTTGAAGGCACATTAGACTACTGGAGCATGATCTTGACTTTTTTGCTGTTGATCTTAATGGCATTTGGGAAAAAAATAGATGTGATAATTCCAGCACTAGCCTGTTTACAGAAGTATCACTGGATATTTTTTTTGTATACAGTATACTTCAGTTCCCTACCTAATTGTACACAGCAAGGTGTTAAAGTGAGTACAGCAGATAATATAAACTCAGCTTTTCAGACTTCTAAACTTTTATCTACAAGAAGTTCATGAAGTCTATATATGAATAAAATCAGTACCCTCATTCTTATATGTGCCCCTAGATTTTCTGAAGTGAAATAAAGAGGGTGCAACTCCAAAGGCCTTTGTTCTGTGTCTGCAAAATGCACTAGCATGTTAGGAGAAGCTGTATCACTTCTATCAATTCAGTACTTCTAAAAGATTCTGGCTTTTTAATTGGTCTTTGGGAATTTTAGAGGTTATCACTGACATTGTTACAGAACACTTTAAATGGACCCTTGGATTTTGGATGACATTATTAAATGGTTTGAGAATGCCAAGACTTTTGTCCTTTGCTTTTTACACTGAATCTACTTGGAGTAGTCTCCTGCAGTACTCTGGAAAAATCTGCTTGTCTTAAGATTGAAGCTTGGACAGATGCTGAATACTTTGCCTTCTGGGTCTGTTCTTAATCATTTATAAAAAAGCATGATTTGAGAGAAAATTGTAGGTATGCTCTTAAACACAAATAACAGCACCTAAAGAAGAATGTAATTCATTCTTCAGGAACATTTTAGCCTAAATGGTGATATATAGATAACACAGACTCAGGTTTGCCTTTTATCATATTTAAGGCTTGTTCATTAGCGAGATTTTAGCATGTTTTTGCCTCAGATGCAAAAGCTTATGCCTTGAAATTGCACTTGTCTCATTTTGTTACAAATGTTTCATTAGGATAACAGATGCACTCTAAATTAGGTAATACTATGTATGTCCTTTAACGCAGTTCTCAAAATGGGAGAGAAAGCTATTCTCAGTGATTAAACACAGTTGCAATTAGATAACTGCTACTACAGTTGTAGCTAGTAAATCTCTAACAACCAATATAAATGGGGATTCAAGTTCAGTTTTGCTGTCTTTCATTCTTTGAGATGGAGCATCTCATTTACTGAAAATAATGTCTTTCCTTGTCTTTCAGGAAACCAATGTGTTAGGATTCAAGGGTCCCAGAAAAATGTCTGTGATCATTCCAGGAATGAATATGAATCACAAGCGAATGCCAATCTGTCCACGAAATGTGAGTTATGGAGTTTGGTCATGTTTCAGATTGGAGGAAGAGGTTAAAACTCTCTCATAGAGGTCTGGGTGTTACTGACAATTTTAGAGCAAGTTTATTAATACCCAGGGCTTTAGCAAGTCTCATGGAGAGTAAATACAATGTATCCTAAAGGTGTTGATTAATCTGTTTTTGCCTTTTACCTAATTTGTAGCCTTCTGAATAGTGTTTGCATCCTTACTTGTCCTTTGGTCAGCCTAAATATTATTTACTTAGCTATTGCAATGGCTAGTGTATGCTGTTGCTTTTGCACCTACAACCCTTCCTCCTGGGTGAGACCCTGTTATGCTGAGAGTTGGATGAACACAGAACAAACTTGCTTCTCACAGGAGCTTATATTCTTAGCCAGTATGTGAATTACAACAGATAGATAATAAATAGATAAGGTGGTATTCTGGTGTAGTAGCAAGAGAGTAAATACATCTTTGATCAGAATGTTGTCAGTCTCTTTGTAGGAATCACAGAAAAGGAGGATTCTTTAAGGAGAAAGTGGCATGAGGAGAAGGATGGAGTTTTCTGGTAACTATTTAGTGAGGCTTTTTCATACATATGGGGGACGTTATAGCTAAAAGCTTACAGGACTGTATCTGAAGATATATTAAGGTGTATGACAAAAATTGTTCAGTTCCCTTAATGTGGGTTTTATGTTTGGTGTGATAGAAGACCAAAAGGCAGAAAGGACAAGTGCCAACTGAAAGACATGGACAGTGTTTTAAGCTAGAAAATGGTATTTGCAGCCATGTTGTGAGTAGGTACGAGTAGGACAAGAGTGTATTTGTTGAGGTCAGAGAAAAAAATCTTCAAGAGTGGAAATTCAGAGTCATGAGAACCTGGAAAAGAGATTTAATTTTGTGAATGGGCAGGAAAATTGTATCTGAAGGTGGTCATTTATTCATCATCTTTCAATCAGTATTGCCATCTCCCCCATCAGTACAGTAAAGATTCCATGGCCCTGTCTTTATTTTTCTCCTCTATTTTCCCAACTGTTTCGCTATCAGGCAAGCATACTGACAGTGGACAAGGCTGAAACATAAAGCTGTTCTGAAAAGTTGGCAAAGCCTTCAGTGTAGGGGTTTGACTCTTTTTGTCTTCCTTCTCTGTAGTGCGATGCCTCCAATTAAGCAATACTGCCCCCACTTTAAAGGAGGAAAAATTGAATCTAAATGCACTTTGGTGCCAATTCTCAAAGTTCTTTTTGCATCTTTAAAAAAGTAAAAAAAGATAAAAATAAAGATATAACATAACTAGTTTAAGCTGAACAGTGAGTTTTATTTAGGTTATCCTCAAAAATCCACTATCATATCTATATACAATACTAAAACAGTTACTACAGCTGTTATCAGTCAGACCTCCACAACAGGTCATTTTCTTATCATTTTTTCCCATTAAATAACTTCAGTTTGGATTCTTTTTCTTGGGAGTTTTAGTATGTGTTATTACAGCTTGGATTTTATTTGTTGCAGAACTTTTAAAATTAAATCATGTGTCATGTGTTTCACTCGCTACTATTTGCAGCTGCTTGTAATTAATTCTGTTTGTCAAATTTAATGTGCTGGTTTACCTCCTTTTTGTATCTTTATGTTTTTATTTCTCTCTTTTTCATATTGTGCATCACTTATTAGACCCAATAGGATGACATTTAACCTATTTCAGGCATACTTACAGCCCGCTGCAGCCTTTGGACTTTCTACTGAAGCACCCCAGGGCCTGGCACTATGCAGTTAATTGCAGATTATTTTCTTTTGTTTCAAAGTTTAGAATGTTAGAAATGGAAGTTTGATCCAACAGGATCAGAGAAAGCTTATGAGACTCAGAAAGGATTCCTTGCCAGCAGGATGGCAATCATCTGTGGCCTGTGAATTGCTTCCTTTCCTGTACACGCACTTCCTTCTCTCTTGTTTTTTTTTTCTTGTTTGGGTGGAAATATGGTGATAGCTTATTGAGTGGAAAGGAATGCTTGGATTGGGAATCTATGAAAGTATCTTCCTGGTACTTGCAGGAAGTTTTCAGTGGGACTGAGTTTAAGTGCTGTTATTGTGTTTCATTAAACAGGGAATGACCTTCAAGTGACAGAGTGCACACACATGAGAGAGGCAGTACTCAAAAGCAGAGCCATTCCAAATCTGATAAATATATTTATTTCTTCTGAACAGGAACATGAGAGTCTGCTGTCAAAATGGCAAAACAAAAATTTAGAGAACCTCATTGAGTTGCACAACAAGGCTCCAGTCTGGAATGATGATACTCAATCCTATGTTTTGAACTTCCATGGGAGAGTCACTCAGGCCTCGGTGAAGAACTTCCAGATTGTCCATGACAATGACCGTAAGAGTCTGGTGGAGAGTGTGTGGGGCTTATTCGAACAGGGAGAAGCCAATTCATTTAATGAGGTTTGGGAGGAACAGGACACTTCCTGAAGAAGGGAGACTGGGTGGAGGAGTTCAGCTCAGGATTACTGGGGACTTCTCAGCTGTCAAGAAAATTATATAAAGCCTCCCTTTTTCTGGGGTGGGTGCAGAGACTGCTGCCCATACCTGCAGCAAAAGAGGGAGCAAATGCAAGCTCCCTGAAGGGAAAGAAAAGGATTAATATGGCACCCTCAGCCCAGCAAAAGAGTAGTTTGAGCTTGCGTTCTAAGAAAGGTAATCTCTAGAATAACATGGTCACTCTAGAGAACAGATTTCAAGGCCACTCTGGTGAGAAAGGATGGATACACCAACCACATATATTTGGGACTGCCAGACGTGTGGTTTTTTGTTTGTGGTTGTTTGGTTTTTTTCTTTGCTTCACTGTGAAATTGTTCGTCTCTGAATCTTTCTTTTCTCCCCAGCTGACTACATTGTGATGCAGTTTGGTCGTGTAGCAGAAGATGTGTTTACTCTGGACTATAATTATCCTCTCTGTGCTCTTCAGGCCTTTGCTATTGGACTCTCCAGCTTTGATAGTAAATTGGCCTGTGAATGAGAGACAACAGACTTGACACATGGAACTCGCTCCCATCCCTGCACCTTGTTGTAAGAGTTCCAGGTGGAGTAATGAAAAGCACATTGGGGATGGAAGGGAACTGGAGGACAGACTTCTGCAGGTTTATTAGAAAGCAAATACCAGGCCTCAGAGCATTATGGTAGTTGACAGTAGATCATCTTGGGAGACTGTCCCGAGACTGATCGGTCTCTGTATGCATTGTGGAAGAACAAGAAATATGGGATGGGTGATGTTGTCGGTGTTGATTTTGCTTTCAGAATCGATGTAACAGATACTGCATGAGAACGGGGTAAGGAATTTAGCCCACTAATTGGAACCCCTTGCAGCTAGGATTAGAAAAATAATCGTTTGGTGTTCATGTACCTTGGAACTTCCACAGTGCCCCTGGAGATGATGCTACTGATCTGATGATACAGATTAATTCAGAAAAAAAGAGGACAGTTATTGGCATGTGTTCTCTTTTGCCCTGTGTAGCATTTTGCTGTCTGTTACAACAGTCAGACATGGAAGGATTCGGGTTATGGCTCTGTGCAACCGTAGGTAATGTTCAAAAAATACAGAGCTGGAATGAGACATTGGCTCTAATAAAACACTTTTCTCTTGCTCTGTGGGATGATTCTCTGTTAAGGCTGATAGTCCAGTTCCCTTTCATTATTCTAACTGCTCCATATCCCTTGACAGTCTTTTAACCAAATAAAGAACAGTCAAATCTCAAAACGCTCCCTTTTTACTTGGTGATGTTATTCTTAACCATGTGAAAAATGAGACTGAATAGATGATAGTCTGACTGAATTTGGCAGAAGGTAGTATTGTAACAATATACAGTACTATTCCTGAAAAGCAGTGTTCTAATTGATTGAATCTAGACTGTAAGCTGATCAGAAATATTTTTTAATTTGTCCATTGTTTGTAAAATTTGCTACATTTTTCAGAATAAGTTAGTGACTGATTTCATTTTTTTTAACGTGAGAGTATCTCAAGTCATGACATATTAAAGTACATTTTACATAAATAATTTTAACCTGACTATAAGAAGGAGTTACCTCAAAAGGAGATTACAGGTGTTTTCAAAGGCATCAGTAAGTTTAAAAAAATTAATAAATATATTATGGGGCTTTGCAATGTGTCCTTCCAGTGTTCCATTTTTAATGCTGGATGTACAATATGGAGACTGTAGGTCACAGCATGGAACACTTCCTGATTCATGTGGCCTTGATTCCTCAGTGAATTGCTGTGCACTGTGACATATAAGCCTCATAGTGTACACATCTGCTGTGTACTAAAGCAGAGGACAGTTACTGTCTTGCCTGTTTCATGGCCATTATGCATATTCACAATGATCCTGGAAAACTCTGTCCCTCTGTTGAGACAAGGATAGGTGTTCTCCAGCTTTGGATATTGTCAGTAGATTAACTCTGTTTCAAGCTCCAAAGAGCCACATTTATTGCTTTTGGTGTCTGGAGTCTTTGCAGTGGTAGATATCACTTGCTCTTTCAAAATAATGAAACTTTGTGAAGACATTTTCTGATATTGCTAGGAAAAAAACTGGTAATCATGTGTAAACTCTGTATTTAACTGTAAATCATGAATTGATGCTGAGAACTCCAGCTTGCGTATCTCTCATATCGCCCATTCTGCATTAGCTGGTGAGCCATTGTCTTGAGATGATCTCATCAGCAAGAGCAGCAGGTGAAGAGAACTTGAATCATGGATCTCTTTTGTGCCTTCATGTACTTCCTGCTCATCAGGCTGGGGACAAGGCCTGGCAGTGTTTTCCAGTTGTGCTCTTCTGAGTTCTTGGCTGATAGCTGTACATTCCCTCTACCCATCCAGAAAAAATAAGTCAGTTTGTTACCTGTCTGATTATTTTTTTGACTAGGACTGCATGAAAGAAACTGCCTTATATTAGTTTGGGGTGACCTGAAGGTAGAATGCTAATTTCCAATTCAAGATGATTTTCTCTGTGCTCAGAAGGCCACAGTAGCATCCCTTTACTCACCCTTTCAGTTAGGCTTGTCAGCAGTGGCTCTTCAAGCTATGTGTTGACATCAAATGATCCTAGCAGGGTCAGGGCCTCTGGGTCTCAGTCAAATTATGCAGACAGATGAAATGATTCAGTGCTCTTTTATCAGATACTGTTTTACATTAATTGTATTTATAACTTTTATATCTAAATGAAAATAAACTAATTTATATATTGAAAAAATCCTTAATTCTAAATGAGTTTTTTTTGTAGGATTTTGCTGTCACTTGTGGGTGTTCTTTGTTCCTCCTGTACTAGATACTACCTCAGTTTCTTCCTGTCTTCTTGTATCTCATCTCTCTTCTTACTCCCCCTTTTCCGTTGTAATTCTCAATTCTCTTCCTTTGTGGTGTTTTTTTCATACACATAGAAGTCTAGGAATAAATGTAAGGTTAGTCTCTCTAATACTTTTTCCCGCCCATCAGCAGCTCTTCCTGTATAGTTCTTGGTTTCCATTTGATTCTCTTTTAAGCTAGTTGCACTTCTCTGCCCCGCATTTTTAATGTTTCTCCCAGCATCCAGTTAGGGCTTTTGAGATGGTTCTTTATACATTTTCCTATCCTCCATCTGAATCTGTTCTACTGTACAATACCATATATTTCTGAATCAAGAACTGAAATAATACAAGGCTAGGAGGAACACCAAGTTGAAGTGGTTATTTTTTCCTGTTTCCACTGGGAGATGTATGAACCTCAGTAAGAGGAGATACGGTGGTTCTGATAATCAGAAACTGACTCAGGTCTCACAATGTGTAGGCCCTATTCTTCATGCACCTCTTTTTTTTTTTTTTTTTTTCCCACTATCTCCATCTGAGCCAAATTAGGTTTAGCTGGGAGAGAAAATTGAGCAGGAAATACTACTGGGCATTTTGTCTTAGTACAGCAATGACAGTTGCACACATGCAAACATAACATTCTTGAAATCCCAAAGAGATCTTAAAACACAGAAGGAAGCATATTAAGCTGTTAAATATGAATCCTAAAGGCAGGCCTAGCAGACTAAAACAGCTCCTAGGCTGCTATAAGCTCCTTGGCTCACAAATATAAAAGACACCAAATAATTTCTTGCTTTTTTAGGGGTCAGTCCCACTCTCATTGAAGTTTTGCTGCTGAATTTGGTAGCAATAGGACAGGGGCTTTTGTTACTGTTGTCATAATAATTGTATTATACTTTACTTAGCGTGCTCCTCTACTTGGTGGTATTAACAGCTCTGTAAATCTCTCAGTTGACATTGAATTAGGTTTCCTGTTATAGGTATAGAAGACAAGCAAAGCCTTCCGCGTGATTTACAGGTCAAGAGCTAAGATCTTGTGCGGAGTCTTGCGAAACTGAACTATGGACAGATTCCTTCTTTGACAGAGAATCTCATCTTCTCTGCCACAGTATCAAACTGTTGTACGTAAGTGCGGTTTGGAACTACTACAGCTGAAACCCAGAACTAAGAAAGACGCTTAAAGTATCCTAGGGCCAAGAGATTTGGCCCAGCATATAGTTATGAAGAAGAGTAGAAAAGCAACACTGGTGTAATGGCTTCCTTACTAACAGGGAAAACAGCCTGCTACAACTGTGAAGTGGTAAGAATTGAAAGCCGTGCCATGAAAGAAGGCAGAGACCATGTACCTACTGCTACTCTTGTATGTCTTGAACTGTAGTCTACAGAGTTATTGTCTTCCCATTCCGTCCCTTAACATGTTCTATATGGAATTATTCTTTCCCTTTTGGAGCTTACTTCTTTGGTCCCAAATTGGGAGAAAAATCCAGAAGCAAACTAACTTCACCAAAATTCATTAAGGTAAAGGGTATTATAACTGTAACCTGCTCTGGTAATTTAACATTTAATTTAGAGAATACATAAATCAGCAACTGTATTCTAGAGGACAGAATTTGTGATCATTTACTTTAATTAACATTTCCAAACAAGGTGAATCATTGCACCGTCTGCAACAGAACAGCTTAAAATTATGAAGAAAATAAAGGATTTTTTTTTCTAATGCTTAATTGAATTGAGCCCTTTATTGAAGGGAAAGTAATACTATTTTACTGTGAAAAATGACTTTTAAAATAAAGCTGCATATAAAAGTCATTCAGATAAGAGTATGGATAGGGTTGGGAAATTAAGTCTGATCAGCTTGCCCAACTCCCTCTCCTTTCTGTTCTAAGCAGAATGGTTTGCTTCCACATTACCACCAGTAAAGGGGAAAAAAAAAAAAACCCAAAAATCCTACCACCAAAAACCTCTATTCTCTTGAGTGGGTTTCCATCTGCAATTGACTGGAGTCCTGCAAACAATTTGTGTGATGATTCACAGGAAGGAATAGGTTTCAATTCCTTCTCTTTGAGCTATGTTGATTCTGCAGGGAAATGGGAGCAAAACAATACGTTAGTCACATAATCATGAGACCTGGCCTAGAATTCACAGTGAACAGATGTGATGAGAAGTGAGCTACCTTTAATATATATTTGTTTTTCATTAAATTACATGTTTTAAAATTAGGCTTAGTAGAAACAGTGGCTACATGAGATCATTACAGGGCCTTATATAACAAAGAAAAAACCACAAAATAATTTCACTGAATTTTGTAACTTTGTCTTATTTATCTTGTATATACTCTTGATTCCTACAGTTGTATCAGAAAACTTTTTTCTGAAGTATTCATAAAATAAAATTATTGCTGCATTGCCTTACAAAGTAATTAAAGTGTAATTAAGTGTATTAATTACCAATATCAGTTATCTTCAGCACTGTCAAACTAAAAAAAAAAAAAAAAAAGTTGGAGTTGGCCTTCCAAATCCCAAGACTAAGTTTATGAAGTTGATGGTTTTTGCTGTCTGGTTTCTGAGGCCTTAGGACACATTTAGGTCCTGTTTTCAGTCTTTTCTCTGCAACTTGACAGAGTTACGAACTTTTTTTATCTTTGGGTTCTTACCAAAAGCCGAGATTTTTCTTAATTCACTTCTTCAATATATTGACATTTTAAACAAAGCCAACTGTGTCATAACTCTGCCACAGGTCGTTATGTGCACACCAGGCACCTGTGACAAAGTCACCCGCTGGAGACATGAAAAAGTTTATTTTGCTGCTGTAGCTGCACGGCTCAGCTGCTAATTGGATGTAGTTACATTTACTAAACCTGCTATTTTATTACTGCTTTCGTTTGGGGGATGTGGCTTTCCAACCCTAGTGCAGCTCTCAGTCTGGTATCAGCATTTTCTAGTGCAGCACGTTGGCATTCCTCTATGAATGGA